CGTAAGCAAATTAAAGACACCACAAAAGTTTTGGTGACTTGCCCGAGAAGATACCACAACAAAATTTGATCGAGATATAGAGATATCAATTTTTTTTTTTTTTGTAATATTTTTAGTTAATTTCATAAGAGGTTTAATCGACATTTCCATTGTTTGGCCTATATTTTAATTCTAAAAGATTTAGCCTATTCCTTTAATTTATCCTTAAAAATTGGTCTATTTCTTGAATTCTCCCTATAATTTAACATTCATTTAAAAAAATGACAAGATTAATTATCTCTTCTTTGGGGTGAATCGAAGAAAGAACTCATGTTTGTCAAAACTATATATCTGGAAACAAAGTTGTCACATCAATTGGAAAAAAAAATGCAATGGAAAAAAGATATCTTAGAAGTAGTTACACCAATCTAAATAAACACTCTAATTAAAATTGTTTGCTAACAGCTCTTTCGTAGATCACGCTAACTTAGATGGCCAAAAAATCACATTCCCATTCAGATATACCCTGAGTGATGGGCTGCCTAAATCTATTTTTTTTTATGCCCCATTATAAACACAAATAAAGAAAGTTATGTATATTTCATGTTCTGAGATTCAAACTTATTGGGCTAGAGTATAGTATTGAACTATTGATATAAACCTCATAATAAATTAGGGTTTTAGATTAAGGTTAATTAGTTTGTATAAATACATATAGTCGTATTCTATATTAAATAACACAAAAACAAAATATTATTTTCGTCTTAAATTTTACATGGTATCAGAGCGAAATCGATCCTTACAATCGATCTAGCAAGTTTAGTATTCAAGAAAAAATCATGGAGTCAATGAGTGGTGACAAAGAAGACGGTAATGATGATGGTGATGAATATTTTACCTATTTTTATATTATTTTAAATATGTTTTTAATAAAGAAATGAATGGTTTTTTTGACTTAACATGTTTTTTTATCATTTTCGTGGGTTTTGAAGTCAATATAGGTTTTTGGATCATTTTGGGCCGAAAAAAGTAAAATCAAGTCTTTTCAAGGAAGGACAAATCTTGACCATCAGATGTTTCGCTCCAGATGAAGAATTTTTTACCGACAGATCAATCTCATATTTTACCACAAGATAGAGGAGGATCTCAGCTTCAAAATGAATATTCGATCGCCACAATCCGATGGTTAGATCTTGAGATATCATCCTCTTTTTTTTTTAATGTCTGAAATGAAG